ACCACATCACCACTCCCTCACACCAACTCCCCCTCACACCTCTCACCTCTTACTGCTCCCAAGAAAGCTGCTGGCAAACGTCGAGGCAGATACACCAACGCTACAAGGAGGAGGCAGCTTAGGAATGCAGCAAAGACATTTGCACATAGTACTCCGGCAGTGCACTGAGCTGCACAGGCCAAGTACTAGCAAGATCACCCTGAGGTGCTCAGAACAACACAGTCTCCATATGAGCAAAACAATCCAGGAACACAAGTAGAGAGGCCATCACTTTTGTGGAAGGTAGCAGAAGTTGACTTAACAGATGACTGCTTCTTAAATGGACAGTTCTATGTGGCCTGCTCCAGAGTGAGCTCATCAAGCAGCCTGGTGATCCTGGCACCTGAGGGCAGAACCACCAATGTGGTCTAGAGAGAGGTCCTTCAGTAGAAAAAAAAAGTACGTATGTCTCACTTCATTTCTTACACTACAATCTTCTCTGTTAGAATTCCTACAGCAAATGTCATATTTCAGATTTCACATCATCAGTATTATAACTGGATTTATGGAACTTAAATATCGTAGCGAAGCACGGGTAGCAGGCTAGTTACTAAATAAACCCTCCATTTGTATATATTTTCTAAACCTGTTCAGCCTTGCCTTGTTCACTCTCTAGAATTGCCAATCCCCAGTTCAGGGCAGGGGATCCCCTGGTTTGGAGGCCCTTCCCCTGCTTCAAGGTTATCAGAAAGTGCGGGGGGGGGGGAGAGAAATGTCGACTGGGAGTTCCATTATACCCTAGGGAGACCGATCTCCCTAGGGTATAATGGAGAATAAATCCAAGGGTATCTGGGGCTTTGGGGGGGGGTTAGGTAGAGGAACAAAATTTTCAGCATAGCATCTGGTGCCTCTTCTCAAGCCCCCTCCCCAAGTTTAAAAAAGATTGGACCAGGGGGTCCAATTCTATGAGCTCCCAAAAAGGTGTCCCATCCTCTATTATTTTCAATGGAGGGAAGGCATTTAAATGGAATGTGGTCCCTTTAAATGTGACGGCCAGAAATCCCTTTGGAGTTCAATCGTAATGTCACATCCCTACTCCTGACTCCACCCCCAAAGTGCCCACACATTTCCTGAGTCAGACCTGGCAAGCCTATCACTTTGGTAATTTTACTTGCATTATTTTATTATTTTGCACAAATAATTTGGTCATGAATATTAAAATGTAAGGGGAGTCCTACTCATAGACTAAGTAGCCATCTGGTCCATGACTCTGCTTCCCATAGTCCAGATGTATTTATTTAAATCAGGGTCCACAACCTTTTTGAGCCTGAAGACATCTTTGGAATTCTGGCCCAGGGTGGTGGTGGGTACAAGTACAAAGTGGCTACTGGAGGAGGTCAGGCCAACCACAAAATGGCTGCCATGGGAGGTAGAGCCAACCACAATCTATCAGAGTAAAGTCATGCATTAATAGTAGCTATTCAGTATTTCAGGCATAAGCTCTGTTTAACAGGATGCCTCTTAAAATGAAAATATTGTTTAAAAATATTTTATTGTATACACATAACTTGCCTTTGGTCATGCCATGAAGATCCTTGTGCCATGGTGGTAGCTGCAGCAGCAGCAACTTTTCAGAGATCTGCAGAGACAATCACTTTCTAAAAACACTTGGTAGGCTCCAGGAAAGCTGTCAGCGGGAGTCATGGTACCCGTGGGCACTATGTCGGGGACCCCTGGTTTAAAGTATACCCCACTGGCCAACCATCTCATCCTTTGCTGTCCCCGTCCCCTTTGACCTTCAATCTTTCCCAGCATCAGGGTCTCAAGGTAGCTTGCAATAATTTAACAATACACCCAATAATATCAACTTGAATAATACTCATAAGACAATCAAATGTCCAATTCAACTAAAATAAGTAATTCATACAAAAACAAAAGTCAGCGCGCAGGTTGAGCAAGAAGGCAATAGCTCATCAGAAACAAAAGTGGTAAATCTAACTATAACTTCTATGATGTTAATACAATGGATCTTTTTACAAATCCTCATAGGTATTGTCACCAGATGTCCCCTTGCCCTCAAACTGAAGAAAACACGCCAGGGCTGTGGATGGAAAGGGAAAATTAGCTACCGAGATATAAATGAGGAACTCAACCATCCTTCAGAGGTTGAAAAAGAAATCAGAAAAGGTAAGTGTGGTTGATTCCATTCTGAATGGTGAGTAGATAATCTGTTTGCGCTCATAAATCAATAAAATTGTTTTCCAGGAACCAATTCAGAAAACAGTTTCTGGGGGAAAATAGAAAATAATCTGAACATACTGGAAATACTTCCATTTGAAATAAGTCATGAAACTCTCTAGGGACTCCACGTGTGCCATTTTGAACTCCCGGGCTTCATTTAGACATCACAGACGAATTTCTGTGTATTCATTACAGTTAAAAACCTGGTGGTTGCAGTTATGACTCATGTGCTCCCCATTTACTGGTCCCACTGCATGCAGAGCACTAGAAGACTTTCCAGTTTTGGAAATCTTCAATATAACTCCAGTTATAACACATTTACAAGCACCTTTCCTGTGACCAGGTACGGTTATAAACAGGGGTCATTTCGTAGAAAAAGAGCTAGGGGAACTCATTAGCATAACTTATTAGCATATGCCACACCCCCTGACATCACCGGAAGTGTGTCATAAGGCCACACCTCCTGACATCACCGGAAATGTGTCATAAGGCCACACACCCCGCCCCCAACAGTCCCGGCCGCTGGTGCCGGCCTTGCAGCTTCACTGCCGAGCCCCATGAGGGGCCCAGTGGTGGACCTGCAAGGCCGGTGGGAGTGCAAGGAAGCCCCGCGAAGGCCCTCCCTGGCCCCAGGCAGGCAGGGGTGGGGAGAGGCAGGGAGGAAACAACTTACCCTCCCTCTTCTCCTGCCTCCTCCTGGCTGAATGAGAGCCGGAAGCGGGGCGGCTGGAAGTAGGGGGCGGGGCTTCATCATGTGCCCCGCCCCTCGTACCTCACCCGGGGGAACTGCGTTCCCCTGTGTTCCCCCCCGAAAAGACCTCTGGTTATAAATAACATAAAATACACATAATACATGTAAACCAAATGCGTTTCAGCTGTGAGGCTTTCATCAGTGGTTTAAATTTTTACAATATACACCATACGATGTTTTAGTGAAAATTACAACATGTTTGACTTAGCACTGAATATCCTAGGGTCATAAGGGTGTGACACCCCCATGGGTATAAGTGCAATTTTACTAAAAAAAATAAAAAATGTTACATTAGGAGAAGGTACTTAACCAACACGAATAAATTTTGATGAACAGTTTTTAATATCTAAAGGAGCTGCAGTGGCTCAAGTGGTTAAGACGCTGAACTGCAGGCTGTGGAAGGTCAGTAGTTCAGCAGTTCGAGACCCGGGTGCCACGTAGTTGTCGCCGCCAGCATTCTTTGCGGGTCATGTGCAGCCACGTCATTTCCCTTGGGCTCCCGAGTGTTCTACTGGGGATCTGTCATTAACTTTTGTGGGGGATTTAAATATCCCCTGTATACTTTTTTAAACATGTCAGATTTTTCTGCAAAACTGGAGCATGCTCTGAATGTGTTGAAAGATCTCCTTGCCCCCTGCGTGCCCCAGATTTGCGGGAATAAGTATCCGCACGCAAGGGGGCGCCTTCGCTATTAGTATATAGATGCTATTGATTTTATTGTTTTTATTTTACATTATCAGATTTTTTTAGCATTTGACTACAATTTTAAACAGGAGTTGCGGTTGCTCAAGTGGTTAAGACGCTGAACTGCAGGCTGTGGAAGGTCAGTAATTCAGCAGTTCAAGACCCAAGTGTGCCGCATGACGGAGTGAGCTCCCGTCTCTAGTTCCAGCTCCTGCCAACCTAGCAGTTCGAAAGCAAGAAATTGCAAGTAGATAAATAGGTACCACTTCAGTGGGAAGGTAACAGCGTTCTGTGCACCTTGGTGTTTAGTCATGCCTGCCACATGACCACGGAAACGTCTTCAGACAGCGCTGGCTCTTCGGCTTTGAAATGGAGATGAGCACCGCAACCCTAGAGATGGATTCGACTGGCTTTCGAGCAAGGGAACCTTTACATTTACCTTTTAATATCTACAATTTGATTAACACTTTTGTGACTTAATATAATTTTAGATTTTATGTGATTGACATTGATATTTTCATAGACAAGGTTCTTCAACCTTTCTGATCACCTGGTTTGTTTGGAGTTGAAATTCTTTCTCCCTTTTTTGGTCATTTTCACGTTTGTACCCAAACCATCAAGAATATGTTGGTTAACAAGCCCCATCTTGTCAGATCTCTGAAGTTAAGCAGGGCCAACCCTGGCAAGTATTTGGATGGGAAACCTCCAAAGAATATCAGGGCTGGCAGGCCAGAGGCAGGCTATCAAGCCACTTCTCTGAACATCCTCTATGCCTCAGTAGGAGTCACCAGAGGTCACCATGACTTCCAGACACAGACACACATGCACGCACACACACATGCAGAAATACTCCCCAAAATATGTTGGTGACCCTCCATGTCACTAAGGTTAATTTCTTCCAGGATTTATCAATGGTATTTTCATGAGGGTTATCAGGTTTCAACGACAGGTGGAGAAGAAGTTAGATTAATAATGCTGCAAAAACCCCATACCACTATAAACAGTTCAAGCACAGTGTGTTGAATTTATCTATATCAAGCTTTCAGTTTTTAAGACATCACTCTTTTGAAGAAGGTCTTGATTTTCAAAAGGGTTTTGCATCATGCCAAGACTGGCACCTGCCACAGCTGGTCAGAAGTGCTTATTACAATATCTCTATATGAAATTTTCACATTGAACATGTGTTTCTCTTGCTCATTCTTCTGTTTTCTCTTTTCTAGCTCAAATTTCTATTGCTGGTGAAGGGGTGGGCATTAGCCATGAACTGATTACCCTAGAAATTAGGTCTTCAGAAGTTCCAGACTTGACACTAATCGATTTACCAGGAATTGCAAGAGTGGCTGTGGGTAATCAGCCCCAAGATATTGGACATCAGGTAAAGGATGGATGAAGTCTGGGTAGCTGATAAGAAGTAGCAGTGGGGATACTCTTTCCTTTCATTTATTAGCTTCAGAGGTCTCAAGCCAAGCAGTGGGGATACTGTGACCAAGTTAAGCTAACTGGAAAGCCCTTCCTAGAGTTGCTAGTGCATGCGAAAAGGGGGGCAATAATATGTAGTGTTCCAGTTCCGAAGTTCCACAGCCCTTTTGTTTTGATGTTTTGTAGCCAGGGCTTCTTTTTTTGAAAAAGAGGTGCCAGAACTCTCGAGAGGGAAACGAAGTTTTCAATCTGTATACCGAAAACTCATGAACGTCTAAACATTTTAAAAAGAATTTTGTTGAAGAGGTTCTGGAACTCCACAAAAAGCCCTGTTTGTAGCCATGATCCACTCCTTGCCTCCATCCTACTGAGGAAGGCTTTATGGAGGACAGTCCACCATTTGCTTGCAGAACATCTGATGGAACCTTGCAAGGACAACTTTACCCTTGAGTCTGCTGGTGTTTCTGTTCCCAGCCTCGCCTCTGCCAGCTGGTCATCCCCATCAGCCCATGAAGGGTGTGCTCTTCCAAAAGAATGACATGTACAGCAGGTTTTCCTTTTATTGCAGATCAAACGGCTAATTAAAAAAATCATTGCAAAGGATGAGACAATAAACTTAGTGGTGGTTCCATGTAATGTGGATATTGCCACAACAGAAGCATTGAAAATGGCTCAGGAAGTGGACCCTGATGGAGAAAGAACACTTGGTAAGGAGTAAAAAGAATAATCCCTGGCCCTGATTATCTTGCTCTGGTAAACTTGTATTTTTAGACCATAGAACGTGACAACTATTACCAGATGTGGTCAGAAAACACATATGTGCTAGGAATGCAAACATAACACCAGAAGGCTTTTCTATCTTTTTTTAAGGTATATATTCAGATCATAAGCCTTGTTTCTACTTGTGATGTACGCATGACAAATGGTTCTCCACTGTGCAGCCCATTTCTCTGGCACTATGACGTTCCATTCATGTGCAGACAGCATTTTCAGTGAGCCAAAAAGTACCAGAGGACAGTGCTATGCAGTGGAGAACCATCTCTACAGCAGATAGATGGAAGCAAAATTCAGGATCCAGGCCTCAGTCTCTTCTGTGTTGTTGTCTGGTCATTATTATTTAAATGCATGCAAAATTAAAATAAGTAATCAGAGATATTGAGATTTTAAAATAACACCAAAGTACACCTAGAGTAAGATTTTCCAGATTATACCACTTTAAGTCCTTTCCCCAGAAACTAACCAAAATAAAGCTAAAAGGTTTATAATCTTCTCTGTAGCCCTGCTCTCTTTTACTCCAGTATGGATACCAGCCTCCAGGTGGGAACCCTAGGCCCACCGAGTTGGGTGAGCCAGAGCCTGCTAACTCGCTACTAGCCCAAATGTGCACAGCTTCTCTCCTGCCTCCCTCCCTTGGCAGCATAGGGAGGATTAAATAAAAGGCGGCGCCAAAACACACACATGCTCCACAGGCTCTCTGCACACAAGTGCTGTCTTATGTAACAGTCTGAATGGAAGTGGGGGGCGGAGGTGAGGTGAAGGTCAGGGATGGGAGCAGGCTTTCAGAAAAGCACACTGGGTTTGCACACAGCTTGCACACAGGGAGTAATATTTTTGGTGGTTGTATAATGCCATGGAGCTGGCATCTTTGGAGAGTGGCAGTACTTGAATATTGCTTGTGGGGCTGGGGAGCATTGCAGTTCCCCTTGTGGTTCACGCTTGTTGCTGAATGTGGGACTTTGACAGAGGGAGGTGGGGGATTGTGTGGCTACCTCCCCTCCCCAAAACCTGTTGACCATAGCAATTTCGTTAAGGCAGGGCTTTGTTGGGTTCCTCTGGTTGATGCCATTTGGCCACCTGACTTTGGCTGCCACACGTGTGGCAACAGAATGCAGCAATTCATGCTCCAACTCATCAAAAGCTTCTGAAAAGTGTTTGTCTTAAAAGAGCCACAAGAGTTTGGTTGTTGCACTTGATTGTCAGGCAGTAGCTCTCTGCTGTGCAAAACGTCTTGTGCATATTGAGCAAAGGGTAGTTAGGTGCTGAGGGAGGGTGTGGGTCACAGTCAGTGGTAAAATATCTCTGGTACTTGGCATGACATTTTATGGCACACATGGCCTGGCCCGACAAAGTGACATTTATGTCAGATCTGGCTCTTGTAACAAATGAGTTTGAAACCTCTGTCTACACGCTTCCAGGTGATACCATGGAAGACCTCAAAGTCCCACTTGTAGATGCTCCAGTGGTTGCCTTACATTCAGTGGCAGTTTTGTCCAAGGATGGGAACAATGCACTGAAGGACTTGGTTGAAAGGGAAATGAGACAGCCTTTAAAAAGTCACACAATGTATCTTCTCTGGCCATCAGAGCTTTGGGTGTGCCCTCAAATTTCACTAGGGTCATTGTGGTGTGGGCTGACAACCACTGGTCAGACATAACCTTTGGCTAAAATACTGGGAGGTGGATACTCTGTCAAATTCCAGTTTATCTGCTGAACAAATTCCAGGCAGACGTCTGTTTGGGGAAGGGGCACTGGACAAGGTGTTAGTTGAAACCAAGGAGAAAAAGGCCATGCCTTCCACATAATCTTTAAAGGATACTAGAAGTAAACCCTTCCACCTTTCACTCCTTACCTCGTGGTGACTATGGATGCCAGCAGAAGGGATTGGGGTGCACACTGCTTGGACAAATTGCCCAGGGAAGATAGAGCCAATCAGAAAGAGCAAACTGCATGAACTGGCTAGAACTTCAGGTGATCAGACTAGCATTGATAGCCTTCCATGACTTCCTGGGAAATGAGACTGTGCTGGTACGTACAAACAATGTGACAGCCAAGGCACATGTCAACCAACAAGGAGGCCCCAGATTGATGTTGCTCTCCAGGGAGGCCAGTCTCCTAATTCAAATGAGCAGAAAGACATCGAGTTGGACTGAAAGTGGAACATCTACAGGGTCTAAAGAATCTTCAAGCCAATTGGCTGAGCAGTAAAGACTTGGATCATGGAGAAGAGTCTGAACAAGGAGGTATTCCATTTAATCACACATCAATTTGGGACTACAATCATGGACTTGTTTGCAACATCAAACAACAATCAAGTCACCAGGTTTCTAACCAGATTCCGCCATCCCATGGCAGAGGGTGAGGATGCACTAACTCACACATGGCTCCAAGGTCTGCTGTATGCCCTCTTTCCTACACCAATGATCAGCAGAGTTCTGAACAGCATATCAAAAGAGGGAGCAGAAATGATGCTCATAGCCCTCTTTTGGTCTAGGAGACCTTGCTTCTCCGAACTAGTGAGGATGTCAATGTCCTCACCATGGAGATTGCCAAACAGACAGAATCTACTAGTACAAAGTCAAATTCACCATCCAGACCCTCTCTCTGGCTCCAGTTAACAGGCTGGAGATTGAGCAGGAGGATTTAGAACAATTTAGTCTTCCTGGGGAAGTGGTTGACATGGTTCAGGCTGCAGCCAGATGTATTTATAATCATACAAGGGGCGGGACCCGCGATACTCGTGGGAAGGGGGGGAGGGAGCTCCACACCTACCTGGAAGAGGAGGAAGCAGGAGGAGGAGGTAAGTTCCCCCCCCATCCCGCCGGTTCCCCCCGTCTCCTCAACCCCCCCGGCTCGATCTCCCCCCCCGCTCTGAAGCGAGGTCTGGTGGCTTGCAGCCGCCAGG